AGAAAAACAACACAGCAAACGCGCGCGCTCTCTTTCTCAATTTTTCTAATATACATAAATAGCCAGCCCGATTATAGAATAACCGCAAAAGTGTGACCATAGCGCAGGCGCCAAGTGTGACCCTCATATGTATGTATGTAAGTACTTAGCTAACTGTACAATCAACTTTGAGCTGGCTGTATGCCATATGGGATGTTTACATTAATAGCTGTTGTACAATAGATCAAATTAACATAAAACAAAAGTGCATTTGTTAATTATACTACTTCTTACATATACACAAACGCACATACTGATTAAATTGGCGCTGGCGCATTTGCAGCAGTCGCCTTTACGCATTGCTGGTCACACTCACGCAAACATATCATATACAAACACAATTATCTACATGTGTATGAGTGTGTATTTAACTGCCGTGCCAAACCTTGTAGCATGCTTCTCAGCGCACTAAACCCAACTTTGTGCCGTTTTAACACACGTGCGTATATGCATATATACATTATACATATATCTATATAAATAAGCCAACTAAACATTGCGCACGCACCACCCAACAACAGTAAAGTCGAGCAGCAGACAGTGGCGGCCATAAAAGTAAGCGCAGCTGAAATATCGGACGTAAATACACAAAAAACGCAAACTAGAAGTTTAATTTCCTTAACAAAATTACAATTATGAAATTCGCTGCATTATACATTTTTCTTTATTGGTTCTTAAATCAATAATTTTATTCAAGTGTAAAAAAAAAAACTGCATTAATGCCATAATATCAACAGTTCTTATGTTTTGTAAGTTCTCATTTTCGATTTAAGCATTATATGTACATTGTATATTCCCACTGTTCGTCAAACCGCTACCGATCATGCAATACTACCAATCAAAACGATTAATGTATCGATTTAAATGTTGTATTCGATACGTAACCTATTTTTTCGCCCAGCACTGTTCAAAAACTTGCGGCCGACTGTCGGCCTGACACGCGCAAGTGAAACGAGCTTACCGCATGAACTACCCCGCATGTCTGGTGTTTATTTTTTTTTTTTTATATATATATATGGCAGGGGGTTGGTTCCAAGGGTGGTGTGCTGCTGGTGTTGGTGGTGGGTGGTGCAAGCAGTGCATGCGTAACACGTAACCATAACCATATGGGCATAATAAAGAGCATAGCACGTCAGCATAGCACAGCGTCAGCCTCGATGCCAGTTGGAAACTTCATGATTAGTGCCCAAGCGCAATGCGTTTGCGTGCCCTGTTGTTTTTGTTGTTGGTTCTGCTGCTGTTTTAGCTGCTGCTGCTGCTGCTGCTACTCTGCTGGCAGTGCTTGCGTGGGGGATGGTTCTGATTCGCTTTTGGGGGTAGCTGCGCGCAGCCCTTTTTGCTAACTTACGTCTCGCATACAAACACAAGCATACAACACACGCACACAACACAATTGACGCCCTTGCCGTTTGAAATCTACATACATATAGCTAGCTATCTCTGTTCGGTACTGGAAAAAAGTATTTTGGTGGAAGGGGTGTTAGGCTGGGTACGCATGCAAGTCACAGCTTTTGACCTGTCAAGAGTAGCTTTCGTAAAGCTTTGAAATGCGCACCTCTACCTCTGCTGTTTTGTCGCAAGCACACAAATAAGAATCCACACAGCAAGGGCAAAAACAAAGCAGCACAGAACATAACACACACACACACACAATCGCAATCACACATGCACAAACTGAGCACGTTGTATGGTCATCTCTGTCGCACGCTCGGCCTGGCAGCTGGCTGCCGTCTCACGCGTCGCAAAGCGACAACGTCGACGCATGGGCGCAGTATTGATTTTTAACTGCGTCGACGCCGCCGTTTGCGTCGTCGCTGCCGTCGTCTCCGTTACCGAAAATGAAAATGCATGCACACGGCGTCAATCCGTGGGGTGGTTTGGCGCAGTGTGGTCGGTAGCTCGTTGCTCATCTTGTCGTGCGAGTCGTTTGCTCCTCTCTTCTTCCTCTATATTTTGCTATTGCTTGCTATTGTTGTTGTTATTGTCAGTGTGCGCCGCGTCGTCGCCGTCGTCTGAGCAAACGCAAATAGAACTTCAACTGGGCAGGCGGAAAAGGCAACGCAGAGCAATCGCACGCAGTATCAGCCGAAGCAGCGACAGCGACAGCGGCAGCAGCGCCAACCTAAAGATACACAACTGCCAACAATAACAATCAACTTCAGCTCGAACTGTAACTGTAATCATATTCTCTTTACCCGTCGTGCAGTGCGTTTACAATTTTACAATATTTCGGTATCGAATTTAATTTCTATATACAACAAGAACAAAAACAAGAAGCTGATAAAATCAGCCAAACGGTTGTTGTTATTTGTTTGTTGTTGTTGTTGTTTTTTTTTTTTTGTTTTTTCGCAAAATTTGTGTGTGTGTTGTGAAGTGCTTTAAACTCGAAAATCAGCAAAAGGCAAGCATTCAAAAAAAGTGTTATATATATGTTTGTTATAAATTTCATTAATCGCAAACGAAAAAACGAAAAACTGCAAACTTTGTTAAAAGTTAAAGACCCAAATGAAAAAAGCTCAACGCGCACGTGCAGCGACCGCTTAACATATTGAAATTATATACACACATATGGCAAACGGTGGGGTAGAAGTGGGCCGTATTTGACTACAAAATAAACTGTGTTGGAAATTGCTTTGAGGAATTGTAAGTCTTACCTGCTGAGTCTGCGCATTGTGGGGTCAGCTTAAAATGTTTAAAAAGCTTGCTTAACATTATGGCTCTTGTATTTCTTGAAATCAAAACAAGAGTAAACGAAAAAGAGAGAATGAGAGCGAGAGCGAGAGAAATGTATAAATACTAGATAAAACACAATTCAAAATCCAACTAGATAGTGAGCGGCATATTTATATCGTATTCTAATTTGAACACCAACTAGAATGGTTACCTGCTCAAAGAACTACAATTGAAAACTTCAAGAGGGCAAATTTAATGTGAAAAAACCTGCCCACCCCAGGTTAAGGGGCGCCAAGTTCAAGCATTAAGGGTTGCATACCTAAAAAAAACGCGTTTCTTTAAAAAAATGGAAAAATCGGTTTTTTTTTAACTCCTGCTGCTTTTCACTTTCAATTATTGTGCAAAAAAAGAGCCAACACTCGTTGTACATATTGGGAATCCATGTTCTTATCTTTGAGTACAGTGGGAACTCACTAAAGTGAACTTTTCCGACTATATGTTCTTGGGTAATATGTGATTAATGAAAGTTTATTTTTGCTTTGTATAATTTATTTATTTTTTATGTAGTCACTAAATACAGTAAAAGCTCTCTAAAATAAACCTATCCTACAATTGGTATACATACATATATATAATTTTTAATTAAGTGTATTAGGACATTACAAAAATATCGACTGTTGTCAACTGTTCTAGGATGTCTTATTCTTTTACAAATCAAATTTGTTACGTTAGAAAAGATACTTGTCCACTTAAGAGATAGTTTTTGTACACAAAAACGTTTTTGTGTAAAGGAGACTTTGTCTAAAAAAGCAAAGAAGAAGATTGAAACTATACGTAAATGGTGCGGAAGAGAGAGCATTATTAGATAACAGAAAAAGAACTGTTCGTTAACACGAATGCCAACTGTATGAGGTGCTCATTTCACGTTTCACTCCGTTTCATTCCATTCCGTTCCGTGTTGTCGTGACCTCTAATGAGGTATTCATCAGCTATACTCGTCTCTGGCGACCGACGTACGAACTATTGACTGCGATATATAGCACACACAAATTGTTATTGTTTGTACTAATTCATTAAATATGTATATAGCGCATTTTGTTGTTTTTGTGCTTGTTGTTGTAGTTGTTCTCGAATGTTGCGCATGCGCGCTTTTGACCTGATTCATTCAGCGCTTATCAGTAATTGTTTTTTTCTTTCTGTTTTTTGTCGCTATCAAGCTCTGTACTCAGTGCAACGCACAGCACACGCCATGTGCTTAGAAACTGTGTCAGACTGGGCATATTATGGCAACAAATGCATCATCTTGAACTTTTTACAATACTGAAATGTTCGAGCCTTGAAATTAATTATTTTTGAATACATTTTTATTGGTTTCTGTGAGGTCTAAAAATACGTTGAAAATTGCATATTCCTTTTAAACGTGTTGCTAACTATTATATGTATTTGTTGTATATGTAGCAGAAAAAAAAATTAAAATCATCTCAGGAAATCTTTACATATAACTAGCTAAGTTAACAATGCAGTATGAAGTATTCCCTTTCTTTTTAATATTAAACTATAAATATATATTTGATAAAACAAAAAAAAGTCTCTTGACAGCGTGTTCTATGGGTTGTACCTCCGAAAATGCAAGAAATCGATATTTATCGATTTTGTTTCAAATCAGCTTGAAATGCATAAGCAATTAAGTGTTTGGCCATTGATATTTATCGATTTTGGGCGAGCTTGAGTAGCTATTGTTGACTTAAATATAGTCTCAGGTCGCAAAAGAGACCTTCATTGGCTCTTAAAGATTGAGAGGGCTATAAGGCGTAGAACGTTAATCTAGACGAGGTCTTCTTTACCGGGTCACTGGACGTTACTTATGTGCTCTTTCATTAGTTAATGAATAATATAAACCATTTATAATGTACCAGAAGCGATAGCTATTCTGAAAGTTGTTAAATACTCTTCAGATTTTTTTTCAAGTCCTTGAATCAGGCTTATAACTCGGCACGTATTTCAGCTATTCAGCTGAAATCTAGTATGTAAGTTGGTGGAGAAAACTTTAATGAGCTACTTAGTGACAGGCGGGACTGATTAAATACTGTGACATCTCATCGGCGAGTGACAAATTAATGTTATTTTCTTTTAAATTTTTCTCATTTGCAGATCACATCACACATTCAGATTGCGCATGCGATTGGTGTCACATAGCTTAGGAGCCGAGTCCACGTTCGAGTTGCCAAAGAGGAGCAACAGAAGCAGCAGCATCAGCACCACCACCTCGAGCAGCCACCAAGCTGGCCACCACAAGCTATCGGCTGGTTGTGGCGCCGGCTGGCAGCCAAAGGAGCGCTGGGAATGTTGTCGTTAGCACCGGCGGCACGGTTAATACGACCGTCAGCACTGGCGGCGGCAGCAATAGCTCCAACAGCGGTGGCCTTAATGTGACCACAATAACAACAACCAGCAGTGGGTCGCAGGCGCAATCGTCGTCCGGTGGCCATAGCAATGGCACCACCTACAAAATCGAGATGCTCGACGACGATATGCAGAGTTTGGCGACGGATGATGAAGACGATGATTTGATAAGCAGTGAGGGCAGTTTATATGATGGTGATCTTAATACATTAGCCAACGATGACGTTGCCCATCAGCTGGCGGCTGCTGGGCCAGTGGGCGTGGCAGCGGCCGCTGCCATTGCCAGCTCAAAGAAACGCAAACGACCGCACTGCTTCGAAACGAATCCATCGGTCCGTAAGCGGCAACAGAATCGTCTGCTGCGCAAATTGCGCGGCATCATCTACGAGTTTACCGGTCGTGTGGGCAAGCAGGCGGTGGTGCTGGTGGCTACGCCGGGGAAACCAAATACCAGCTATAAGGTATTTGGAGCCAAGCCGCTGGAGGATGTGCTGCGCAATCTGAAGAACATTGTGATGGATGAGCTGGAAAATGCGCTGGCGCAACAGGCGCCACCGCCGCCGCAAGAGGATCCGTCACTGTTCGAACTGCCTGGCCTTGTTATCGATGGCATACCGACGCCTGTGGAGAAGATGACGCAGGCACAGTTGCGCGCCTTTATACCGCTCATGCTGAAGTATTCAACGGGACGTGGCAAGCCCGGCTGGGGCAGGGAATCAACACGACCGCCATGGTGGCCCAAGGAGCTGCCATGGGCGAATGTGCGCATGGATGCCCGCTCTGAGGATGACAAGCAGAAGGTGGGTGGGGTGGGTGTTCAAAAGCCGCCCCAAAATGATGAATCGTGTCTTATTAATCGCCCCATCCTTCCTCCTTACCCATAAAAAACAAAAACTCACAGATTAGCTGGACACATGCGCTGCGCAAGATTGTGATCAATTGCTACAAATATCACGGACGCGAGGATCTGTTGCCGACATTTGCGGACGACGAAGACAAAGTCAACCAGCTTATCTCACAGTCTGGCGACGAGGATGAGGACATGGAGCAGCTATCCAACACGCCCACCATACAAACGGTGCAAACGGTGACACCGGCAACCAATACAAACACCAGCCAAGTAAGTATACGCCAAGGTGGCAGGCATAGTTAGGGGACACTAAGTATTTCGATGCTTCTCAAACAAAAAAAAAAAAAAAAAAAAAACAAACGAAATGTTTAATTAATGTTTATACACGGGATTCCATCATAAACACACAACACATCTTCACCCTTTTCATACTTAACTAATACACACAACATTACATTTGCACAACAACAACAACAACAACAACATCAACTGCAGCCTCAACAGGTGAACGTGGTGAAGATCAACAGCGCTGGCACCGTGATCACAACGCACACGGCGCAAACGAATACGCCGGCGCCAACGATCATCCAGAGCACAAACAATCAGCATGTAACCACAACAGCCACGTTGCCGGCATCCACAAAGATTGAAATCTGCCAGGCACCAGCGCCACAGCAGCAGCAGCAGCAACAACAACAACAACAGCAGCACCATCAGCAGCAACACCATCAGCAGCAACAGCACCATCAGCAGCAACAGCAGCAGCATCATCAGCAGCATCAGACAACCAGCGGCAATACGGTGCACATACAGGCAGTTAGCCACAGCTCAGCACAGCCGCAGACCATACAGCTGACAACGGCAAGCGGCACGGCAACGGCCACAGCTGTGCCAACAACAGCAGCCGCTGTAAGTGCATCAGCAGCGGCGGCGGCTGCCGCAGCGCAAGCTGCACAGCAACAACAATCGAATGCAGCGCAAACCGTCACCGCCCAACAGATAGCCAATGCCCAAGTTTGCATCGAGCCCATAACGCTGAGCGACGTTGATGTTCGTACTAATCTGTCTGAACTTGTAACTAAACTAGTCAATCTTCAAATTAGCGGCTCCCCGAGCCCCACCCCCAAAAGCGGCTGGCTTGGGTATTATGCGCGTGTTTTGCTCTAGCCAAAGCTAAGAGTTAAGAGCACCAAATCGAACAAAAACTACATCAAAGATTGCCTACATATGGCTTAGCAGTTGCTTTATCTAAAAGCCCCAATTCCGGGCGATTGTTCCCATAGGCTTGTTTCATAAGACAGTAGACCTATTAGGAGAAAAGTGAAGCTAGCAATTGCAGAATATGTCCAAGAGATCTTAAAGATAAAACTACTTTTTCATACAACAACTTGTTTTCGATCAATATTTCCCATGCCATCGTCAGATCCAACCGACTTTGACATTTTTAACAGCCTGCAACAAGCATATCTTCCAGAAAGTGAGAAAGAACCCTTCATGTTATTATCTCAGTTTTCTATTCTCGGAACGTATCAATCCACCATATTTTGACTGTGATGTTTCAAATGTATCACATTTTGTAGTTTATTGATAAAACAAAAAAAAAAAAAACATTTAAGAAGTCGTCTATAGACACTTGGTATCCAAATTTCTTAAAACAAAATATTGCATGCATTCTATTTCACGTATTTTCTACAGTTGTGTGTGAGATGTTCACTACTGAAAAGAAATCAGCTTGCAAGCTTTTCAGTTCCAGTCAGTCGATGATCAGTTTTCAAATTTTTCTCAATATCTTTCAACCGTCAATTAAAGTTTTAGGAATCGAGGTATTTGCCTATATACCTTATAGGGACACTAATTTTCAATAATTGTATGACGCGCATAATGCTCAAACCCAGCTATTTCGTAGTATGTTTTTTTACCCTTTGATTCATGTTATTTATTATTATGTTTTCTTGCTTTGTTAACTGCATTTTATAAATATTTATTATATTATATGTAAGCAAATATAATTATTACTTACAATATTTTTTTTCCTAAAAACCTTATTTTTTAATATATTTTTTTTGCTATTTGTTGTTTTTTTGTCTTTTCGTTTGCAGCAACATTTAAATATGATTTTTATGCCATGCGCCCACAATAAAACCCAATCAAAGTACACACACATGTAAATACACTACATTCGGCAACTCGAAACACAATAACAGCAACGACCAACACACACACACACACACAACAATTAACACTTAAACAAAAAAAAAGATAAAATATCACTTTATCATATTGCATTTCATTTCTTTTTCAATGTGTTTTTTATAATTCTCTTTGCATATTCTGTTTTTGACTTCTTCGTTGTTTTCTGTTGTGCTGTAGCGCATCCTTAACATTGTGCTGATAATTAACATGTTCTTAACATTCTACTTAACAGTACACCACACAGACTGTGTTGTCGCAAAACGCCGATGGTACTGTATCGCTCATTCAGGTGGATCCTAACAATCCGATCATAACGTTACCGGATGGCACAACGGCACAGGTACAGGGCGTGGCAACGGTAAGTCTTGTAACTTTCGGAAATTAAAATTATTTTGGTGCTGTTGGTAAACATTTTTGGTATATTTTTGCAGCTGCATCAGGGCGAAGGTGGTGCCACAATACAAACGGTGCAAAGCCTTGCCGATGTGAATGGCCATGAGAATATGACCGTGGATCTAACCGAGGCGCAGGATGGTCAAATCTTTATCACCACCGAGGATGGGCAAGGTAAGTGCAAATAGGAGCAGCAAGCACACATCGGACATAACCTAATGGTTTTTGTTCTAACACAATAGGATATCCGGTCTCAGTGAGCAATGTCATATCGGTGCCCGTCTCCATGTACCAGTCAGTGATGGCCAACATGCAGCAGTTACAGACGAATAGTGATGGCACCGTGTGCTTGGCTCCCATGCAGGTAGATAACAGCAACTCATCCAACAGCTCCAATAGCGTAACGCGCAGCAATAGCAACAACAACAACAACAATAACTGTAGCGTCGGCAGCGGCAGCAGCAGCACGGCTGCTGCGCCAGCTCCGCTGCTGGGCATCTCAGTTATCAACGCTAACGCGGTGGTGGGCCGGCGTATCGCTGCCAGCGGCGCTAGCGTCTCAGCAGCAATAGCACCAAATGCCGCCCAACAGCAGCCGTTTACATTGCAAGCATTGCCGGGCACTCGCTTTTACTGGACCGCAAGTCCGGCAGGCGGCAGTGCTAGCAGCAGTAATATGAGTACCGGTGCTAGCTATAATCTTGCCAATAACAATAATAATAGCATGCTTACTAATAACAATAATAATAATAACAACAACAATAACAACAATAGCATAAAAATGCCGATGCCCATAGTTTTGACAGCACAAGCGACGTCGAGTACGCAGCGGCGTCATGAAACAAACACTTCGCGAAGCGCAACAGCAGCGCAAAAGCGACGAAAGCTTACCAACAGCAGCGCAAGCGCCAGCAGCAGCAATAAAGTTGCAAGTTTTCGCAAAAATGCAAAGGATGTAACGGTTGCTGCTGCTGTCGCTGCCGCATCGAGCAGCGCTGCTGCGGCCATACGTTGTGTAGACAGCGCCAGTCTGACAAATGCGACCGGCGCGCATCTGCAGCTACCAGCTAAAACCATTAAAGAGGAGCATTTGGAATAAACTTACATTAGCCACTGTAGCAACACGCACGCACACACACGCACGCACACACACACGCACGCACTTGCCACATACATCCCCTTCCTCAACCCAAAGCTAGCTACTATTGCACATATCTAATCTAGTCAAAGCGGCGCTGCATGCACACACACAAACACACACACACACAAGAACCACTTGCCATTTTTACTTACATTTAAACAAACAAACATAGCTGTACATACAAACAAACACACACACACACACACACACATGCATACAAACATATAAACAAATGCAAACAATTGTGAATGCCGACAAATACCAAAAATCAAAAAGAAAACAACATATTAAGCTTGCAATAATTTGCCTTAGTAATCGATATGTAGCATAATTGATAAGAATAAAACAAAATATATATTTAACACCGTACTAACAAAAGCCCCCCACACTGAATTTAAAGTGAGCCAAAAATCAAACATGTTTAATATTGAAACACTGAAACCAAAAAGTTAAAAAGTTAAAAAAAAGAAAAACAATCAAAAATGTTGAAAAGAAAAAGAAAAAAAAGTATGCATAAAATTGAATTGCCAAGTTCCTAAAACACAACAAATAATTATGCAAGAAATTAGATTTTGTTTATGTTTATTATTTATGTTTTTTAATTTGTAGTCGCGTTCGTGCTTCAATCCAAAATGTATAAAAATAAAATCGAAACACAAGCCAAATATTAACGTATTGAGTTCAACAATTGATTTCATAATTATTTTAATTATTTTTATTGCCTTTTTTTTTGTGCAATCCATGGAAAATGCTATGCAAATATTTGATTTAGTTTGTTAATAATTATAAGTAGTTGGATTTAGCAAACAGGGAATTTGAATGCTATAGTTTTTAATTGTGTTAAAAAAAAAATGATTTGTGACGTAATCAAAATTTTAAAAATTAAATACCCATAACAAACCAAAAATCATAGTCATATTGTTGAAATCGTCCAACGTAGCCAATTCGCATTCAAAATGTAGCAATTAATTAAACAAAAAACAAAAACAAAACAGAATTAAACCGCCCACATGCCATTTGAGCTAGTTTAAAAAAGAAAAGAAAACAAATTTAAAAGAATATCTAAATAGAATATTGTGTATATTATGAAAGTCATGTGGCCAAAAATGTACGTGCATACAATAATTTTATGTTTATTACAATTATTATTATTACTATTATTATTATTATTATTATTATTATTGTGTTTAATGTTTTTATTACTGATTATGTTTATTATTATAATTGTTTTAGAGCAAATTTTAATTACGTGTAAACCAATGCAATGAAGCGAAAACAAAACAAAAATCAAACAAAATTATTGAATAAATTCTTTGTTGTTGTGATTTTATAATTTCAATTTTCCCTTTCTTTTTATTTATTTAAATACTCTATTTAATTTGTCATATCATTTTCTTTCTTAGCAGGTCATCAATTTTGTAATAGGTCTACAAATTTCCTTGCTTTTTTTTATTTACCTGATTTTTAAGTAAGTATGATTTATCTTCATTTTTTTTTGACTGTGTACAAAATAAAAACGCCAGCGACGAAATGATTAAGACTATGTTAATCAAATAGTAATTTGTAAATATGTTTAATGAAATATGTATTTAAATCGTTATGACTTATGTGTATTTAGCATGATTTCAATATTCTGTCTCTTCCTTTTCGCAGGTGGAAAATGGGGATCAGCTGGAAACCATTACCGTTTCGCCAGGCATGCACCAAATGATGATCCAGGGCGGACCTGGCCAGGAGCCGCAGCTAGTGCAGGTGGTCAGCCTGAAGGATGCCACGCTGCTTAGCAAGGCCATGGAGGCCATCAATTCGGGCAATGTCAAGGCCGAGGACACAATCATAATGGAGCAATAGACAAATTGAAATGGAACTAGCAGCGCAATTGGAACTCAACACGAGCTTCAATCATAATCTAGATTGATCCATCACGCATGTAAATGCTTGACTACACACTCATAGATTTAATGCATTTTTTGATATGATTACGCGAATATATATTCTATATAATATATATATATATATATATAATAAATAGTTACTCAAATGATTATATATAGTACATAATCCACGACGCATAAACGAAAATATTTTAGAAGTACCTGAAAGGTGTTGCTAAAACAAAACAAAAAGAGAAGCAATTTATAATTTGATTATTTGTTATATTTTCATACCCCAAACCCAAGTTATTTGTGTATTGATCTAGTCTATGCAAACAAATGAACAATTCTAGTCATCAAATATCCAGTCGTAATAAAAATATAAAAAATTATATATTTCCGTTTCTGTATTTGTACAAACAGTTTTAAATATGTCTTCGCATAGAATAATATTTGAAGAACAAGTTATCTTTGGTATACATTTTTTTTTTTAATCTTATTTCGTTTTAAATCAAATTTTCGTCGGCTTAACAAATAGTTAAATTAATATCAATGGAAAACTCTTAATTGAAATAACAGTTTTTGGGGACCCTCCCCACTAGCAAAGGGTACTGTACTTAACGTTTCTGCAAGTACTCATATACCTATACATATACCTAAACAATTTATATATATTAAATATAAATAAAAACTATGCAGAGTTACTTGTACGTATGTTATGGGCTTTATCACATAAACTCACTACAATAAATTCTCATTTGCATTCATGCATTAACATCTAGTCATAAAGTTAAATTAAATATATATTAAAACCAAATTATAATTCATCTTAGGCCAAACAAAAATTAAACAGGAAAGCCAATGCAATGTAAACAAAAACATCACTTTAAATTTAATTATTAATATTAATAAATAAACTGTATACAAAATGTACTCAAACTTATTATGTTCATTGGAAAACTCTTGACCACAACATACATATATAGATGCATCCATTACCATGCAAAAACAGATGCCCAATCCTAAGATGCATTCTTTTAAGACTAGTAAATACATCACTATAAAAGCAGAGAAAGCGCCAATGGATATACCCTGGGATCTTCCCGATCGTTCCAAAGGAACGTTGGATTTTCTGCAGCTTAGTCTTATGAATATCACAAGCGTAGCCTTAGAATGATTCAAATGTATACCAGATATGGGGTCTCAGGCCTATATAGATGGTTGGACTTTGATCACGATTAAAATAATCATTTTTCCGCTGGAAACAGCGAAAAAACCCCGAGAACGGGTGGTTTTCACAAGGACATCACTCGTTTAAGCTGTCTCTTCTTAATGTAATGTAAGAAATTTGAAGCTAAAAACGAATAATTGTTCAGCACATTTCAGACAGATCTTTTCTTGCAATTTTTTTGTTTGTTAAACTTGTTTTGGAATTGGAATAAAAACAAATGTTTGTTTACTTTATTAACGGTATTTTCATTAATAATTATTGTAATTTATTAATAGATTACAGGCTATGTAGTTAATGCTAACATCTGTAACGCATTATTATCATTATTTGTTTTTAAAAATTAAATTGTACAAAAAATCTACACAACAACGCAAAAAAGAACACGAAATAGATATATATATGTATATACATTATACAGGTGTATGTATAGCATATGTACATATATACATTTATGATGTACGTATGTATGCATGTATAACCCATAAGTGTTTTAAGAGCACAACTCGTCCTAAAAAAAAAAAAAAGGAAAACAAAATTTTACAATTTTTTTCTTAAATTAAGATTAAAGTATATTACGCACTAGAAAAAAAAACCGAACAAACGAACGTAAAGTGTGAAAAAAAAAATAAACCAAAACAATAGCTACGCAACAAACATACAAACAAAACTTATATTAAAAAATAATTATAATAATTATGGTTAATAATAGCTACACAAAAATTTCGCTATTAAACAAAAGGTGCTAACTGATAAGGCAAACCGAAACATGGAAGAGGCGACATCATCGTCGAGCACAAACAATGTTTGCCCGAACTTGTCGATGGGCGCGGGGGGAACTGGGGGTTTGTAAAGAAACTTGACTATACTTGTTGGAGCGACGTTGTCGACAAAAATAATATGTATATATATATATATATATATATATATATATATATATATATATATATATATATATATATATATATATATAAATAAATAATAAGATAAACAGTGTGTGCCCTATAGCTCAGAGTGCTCAGCAGAAAAACTCCAGTGCGCCTGCCTGGCTGGGATATTGAATAGTGGATTTAGTTTTAAATTGAATATAACTGCTATTGTGTGTATTATATAATTGAGTATTAATTAATTACATTAGCATTGTATTTTTGCTTTCAACAGTTTGGTTATTGTTTACTGATTATTGTTCAGTCGCCAAGTTTTTCCGATTTTGTTTTGTTTTGTTTTGTTTTTTTTTTTTTTTACAATATTTTAAAGCTAAAATCTCTCTTCTCTCTGTCTCTCACTCTGTATTTCTGTCTGTCTCTTTCTGTGTTATGCTATAATTGTGTGTGTGTTTTTTTTTTTCGTAGTTTGCAAAAGTTAAAACCTGCTAAATTTTAATGAGTAGATGTTCGCTTAAAAGAATATATGATTTTGTACTCTGATCGCACTGGGTCTTCAAATGGGTGGTTTTTCTTTTTCTTTTTTTTTGTTTTTGGATCGTGTTGGTGCGGGAGGAAGGTGGGGTTGGGGAGTCAAAGCTTCAGCGGTGCACTGAATACTGAGCTAAGTGGACTAAATAAATAAATTTTGTAGCTAATCCGAAGGCAAAGGGCGTTAACTTCTCGCATTTCGCAACACTGGCATTCTTGAATTCCCACACTATTTATCGCCGCTGCTCTCACTGGACGTTGTCGTCTGTTTGGTTATCACTGAAACCGGCTGATGCGCCGCTGGCACTTCGTTGGTTGCTGCTGCCGCCTTGTACTCGCTCTTGATGTTGACCAGCAACTGTTTCTGCATCTGATGCTCCAGCATAATGGCATCCATTTGCCGCTCAAACTCGGGCAGGAAGGCGCTGTGCTGCTCTTGCTGTTGCTTGTAGAGCGTTTGAGCTTCCTCGCCCATCTTTGACAGCTTGGTGTCCAGGCTACGCAGCGAATTGGACAAAGCTGCTTGCAGCTGGGTTGTCGGCGACGGCAAAGGCGACGGCGACGTCGCTTCTGCTGCTGCTGCTTCTGGCACCTTTGGTGTTGATGTCGGCGACGGTGTCGTCGTCATTAGCCTCTGCAGCACACTGACGCGCGGCGTTGCTGCTGGTGGCGGGGATGCATTACTATTTGCGTCGTCCGGTAGCTCCAGGCTGCTCGCACTCGCCGGCGACAATGTGGAGCTTTCACTTAAGCTATAGCTCAACTGGCGTATGACGCCGCCATTGGCTTCGCCTCGCTCCCGTTGCTCCTGCTGCAGCTTTTGCTGCTGCTGCTGCTGCTGGTACTGAAGATTGCGCGCCGATGTCACGTTAACGACATTGACTGATTTGGATATTGAGTTCTTGACGTGACCTGGGGCCGGCGGTACTAAAGCCAACTGGGCCGGCGATGGCGCCTGTTCGTCCAATGTCAGTGTCGTGTTGCTCGAGGCGGGCGAACTGCAGCAGATATCTTCCATGGTATCCATGTTGACATCACCATTCGACGAATCCGCACTGCCATTAACACCGGCACTATTCGCGCTCTTTTGCAGATTCTCAATTAGATACAGCACAATGCGCTCCAGCTGTTGTGGCGCCCTCGATGCAGGCAGATCGGGACTGGTATGCGTAGGTATATCGGCCTTGATAATGGTCGAGAATTTGTTCTTCATCTCCTGCACCTTCCGCTTGCCGGCCTGCTCGTCCAGCAGCGTATTGACACACAGAAACGAGTGCACCTTGTTGCTGCTCTTGTCAACCTCAAGGAAACCCTTCGATTGCAGGTATATGAAGTGACCATTCCGGGACAACAGGCGATAGCAGCTCTCACCATAATCGCTATTGCAGTCATACATTTGTCTAAGCGCGACAATTACCCAGCGCACATCATCCAAATGCATAAAGCTGAACGGGCTCAAGTTGCGAACCTGGGAACAACAAATGCACACACATATACATAAATTAGTTTAAACAAATGCGCAATAAATTATTATAGTTATTACTAACATGTACTAACTATAGCTATATAACTATATATATATATATATGCTGTAAGAAATATGAATACATATGCATGGATTATTCGCCCCTCCAAATGCGTATATATACACATGTACGTATATATTCCTGTTCTGACCTCGAGCTGCGTTTATATAGTCATCTATCTATGTATGTCTATTTGTTAATCAAAAATTGCAACACAGCAAGTTGCATGCAGATTCTCTGTTCAGATGCACGCACATCAAGTTTATTTAACATACATTATCTCAAATCCCTCCTAGATTTTGACCTTCCATGCAATTGTCACCAGTTTAAGTAATTCAATGATATATTTGATAACTGTTCTCACTGCCTCTCTCTCGCTACCGTTCGCTTAATTTACTTTTATCTCTCTTGCCTTCGAGAGAAGGCCTTTTATTCCATCGCTTCTCACATTTAAATATCGCCTTTCTATGCGATTTTCATAAGCTTTAGTAAGCACTTTTCGATGTCATTGGCATGTATTTTAAATAGTAATATTTATAAAGTTTTCTTTTATACAATCGATCCTAAAAGCTTCTAAAAAAGATGAACGTGCATATGTATGTATCTGTACGTAGATGCTTGCAAATTAGAATGATTCCGTTGCCAGAGTTGATTCTAATGTGCGAAAAATACGAATTTCACGACCTTCTATTCATCTGCACGACAAATAATAATATAATGCATATAAACAATAATTAATATTTAATGAATTCGATTGGCTAATTTGATGGGGTTTTTCAAAAGTCTTTAAATACAAAAAAGCGAGCTTACAAACAAAAACGTGTTCAAATTTAAAGTGTAAGATGCATGATTAGTGGAAATTATAATGTCAAAACTAGAAAGTTCTTTTCCAAAGTTCTTGTTTGCCAGCGGATGCAAATATACTGACAGTGACATGAAATGAATAACACAGTTGAGTAAGTTACACAAGGATAAGGGGGGTCACTCACCTCATCCTTCATGTAGCCCGCCACGATGCCAATGCGCTGATCACAGTCAATGATGCTGCCGTCGATGAGATGTCGCGTGCGGTACTCCAGCTGATACGGCTCCGGCTGGCGGCACAGGAGGCTCAGGCAGTTGGACTCCTCACGCATTACGCGTGCCATGGCCACCAGGACGATGTCGTTGCCGCTGATGCCGTGCAGCGCCGCCTGGGCGATCGCATCGTGTTGCGGCAGGCAGGGCGGCGTCAATGTCGCTGCTGATGTCGTCGATGCTGGCACCGTGCCTGCTGCCGCTGCTGCTGCGGCGGCGGCTAGCATATTGTTATTACGCGAGCGCCTTATCAGCTGCGATACGATTGGATAATTGGCGGCCGCCCCACCCGTAACCGATGAGTCGCTGCGCCGAAAACAACCGTCAATTTTGACCACCTCATAGTGACGCGTCGCCTCGGCCCGGGTCGAAGCACGGGCCAGCCGCACCGTGAAGCAACGTCGATCGGCACGCAGACGCTCATCGATGGCGGCCATATGGGCGATAGTTTGGGGGCTGGGCGTGCGTGTACGCTCCAGATCCTGCTCCAGTTCATCATCACCATCATCATTGTCATCATCATCGCTGGCCGACGTTGACTGCGACTGTGAGTGCGACTGCGAGTGCTGTTTACGTCGTTGCTGATAAAAGAGCGTCTCGATGTCACGTGGTATTAGCTGTTGACGCAACAACGCCTGATCATCGGGATGCGTTATCTGCAGCAGATTCTGTCCATATAAATCCGACTGGCAATGGCCCAGCAGCTGTTCCACGCTCCCAGACACAAGCACTATCTGCCCATTGCAAGTGAGGGTGAGAAAAAAGCTGTCGAGCAACTGCATCAACGTATCCGTTAATAGCGGCGTATCGCCGGCGATGACACCGTTACCATTGCCTCCACTTCCGCTAGAATCTCCACCTCTGCCGGCGCCCTTCACATTCAGCCTGCGTCGACGTCGTGTCGCCGACTTGCCAAATACGTACTGTAGCCTGAGGCCGTGTGTGGCAAAGCGCAGCACCGCGGTCTTATCCAGTCGCCGCGTTGATTCGGCCGCATGCGGCACCATTGTGGCCAGCTCCTGTATGCTGGCATTGAGCTTGTCCCGCCGCTGCTTCTCGGCTAGGTTGCGCGCCTCCCGTCCATTTGAAGCGCCGCTGGCGTCGCTTGTCTCACTATCGGCGACGGATACTGTCATAACTGCGACGCAGCCGCTGCCGCTGCCGCCGCCGCTGCCGTTTGCCGTGGCTGCAACTACTGCTGCCATTGTGTTTGTGTTTGTGTTTGTGTTTGTGTTGGGTGTGTGTGTGTGTCTGTGTGTGCGTGTGTGTGAGTGTAGGCGCTGCTTTTGTTATGGATGTAAATCGTTAGCTTGTTTTGATTTTGATTCTTACGTTTACGTGTTAAACGGCTTCCCAATTCGCTTTTCTCCATGCATTTGGTGTTTTAGTTTATTTGTATTATTAGTTTCTTCCTATTATTATTTTTAATTGGCGCGCTGCGGAAAATTGTCACTCTCCATAACTTAGCGGCCGATGCCGATGCCGTTGCCGTTGCCTCTCTGCACTCGGCTCTGTTTGCGTTTTTCGTTAATAATTTTGAGTTCTTTTTGTTGCTATTTCTTTAAAGTTTTCAAGGTCTCGCTTGTCGTGTTGTTGTTGTTGTTGTTGTTATTATTTTTGTTGCTTCTCTTGCTGCTGCTGCTGTTAACCACCTTTGGGCTATGCGCGCGGCCCCCTCCCTCTGTCCGCTCACTCTCTGGCAGCGTATGTTATTTTCCGTTTTATGGAATTTTTTTGATTGCGTTGCGAATCTCAATCTCCTTTGCGTTGTGGCTCTAGCTGCGTTGTTTTTGTTGTTGTTATTGTTTTCGTTGTTGTTTTTGTTATTGTTGCTCTTACCGTGCAGCGCAGACTAGTTGCAAGCGAATCAATTGAAGATACGTACAATTACATAGAATATCGCACGCACTATTTTGTTTATATTAGTGATTAATTGTTTATTAAACAATTATGTAGCTCGGCGACATTTGGGGCAAAATATATACATATCGATATATCGATAAGCGCACACTTCTATCGGATTCCACGACAGGACAGTTCAAATAGTTCCGTCTGACTACAGCAAGCTACAATTATTTCATGAAATATACGACAATATTTAAAAAAAAAAAATTCACAATTATATGTATGTATACTGTACATAGTTAAGAAACCATTTCAACTAAATTTAACAATCACGTCATAGGGTCAGATCCGTTTCACCTGTGAACCAGCTCAAAACGATGACATCACGATTCCGATAATAATTCCAATGAACACGAACACACACACGCCCAATCATCGTGTGTAATTCTTCCTCTTTCTCTAGCTCCACACTTGGCACATTTGCCAGCTGTGCACGTGAAAGCCGCCGCCGCAGCAGCAGCACCGACAACGCAAACGTAAACTATTCAAGTTTGCTGATCATAGTGCTTGCGAATTTTAGATAATTTTGGTCCATTATACAGCAGGTCACCTGTCACCTACACCCTACACAGATATGTCCAAGGCCAAAGGCAAGAAGAAGGAACGCTTCGATGAGGAGGAGGAACAGCCAGAGAAAGTGAGTGCAAACGAAAAGAAAAATGCGTCAAAGAAGGGCAAAAAGGGAAAACGTGCTGGAGGTGGCGGCGGCGATTCCAGCGATAACGAATCCCTAACTGCCAGCAAGTTATCCAATATTGACGCAGATGATCTGGAAAGCGTGAAGTCCTCGCAAAGTAAACAGCAGCAGCAGCAGAAGAAGGCTGGCAAAAAGGGGAAGAAGGGGAAACGAAACGACGATTGGAGTGAGGATGAGCAACCTGGGAAGCCCCTGTCAAAAGCAGACAGCGATGGCTCCGATGAAGAAACGGCGCCCGTCGCTAAGCCAGCACCCAAGAAGCAACAGCAACAGACCAAGAAAAGTAAAAAGGGCAACAAGAAGAAGGCGAATGATGGTTTCAGCGATGATGATGATGATGATGATGACGATGATAAGGATAATAGAAATGGTGGTAATGATATAGAAGATGAGGAGGAGGAAGAGGTGGCGGTAGCTATAGCCAAGCCGGCGTCCAAGAAATCTAAAAAGAAGCAGCAGCTTAAGAATAAATTTGCGATGAGTGACGATGATGATAATGATGACGATCTGGACGAAAACAAGTATGCAGAAGATCTGGATGAGGATGAACCAGAACTTGTGACGGCCAAGCCAGCAGGAAAGAAAACCAAGAAAAAGAAGCAAGAGCAAAAGAACAAATTCGAAATGAGCGACAATGATGACGAAGAGGAGATTGAAGATGTGCAGCTACTCGAGACGGAGCCAAAACCTGAACCTATGAAAGAAGAGAAGCTAACTGAAAAGATTGCTGCCATTACGCTGAAAGAAACTGAACCCGAACGAGAGCCAGAGGAGCCAGCGACCACGCCCAAGTCCGAAGAGTCAACGGAAGCAATTGTTGAATCCAAAGACAGTAAGGAAAAGAAAATCACGCATAAGGAGAAAAAGAAGCAAAAGAAACAACAAGAATACGAAAGGCAAATGGAGCTAATGACAAAAAAGGGCGGCGCCGGACACTCGGATCTAGACAATAATTTCACCATGTCGCAGGTGCAGAAGAGTGCTGGCCAACAGGCAGCCCTCGAGCATGCCGTGGATATCAAAATTGAGAATTTCACGATATCGGCCAAAGGTGAGTACATTTCAATTTCACAAGTTATGCAATAATTCTTAAATGAATCATATTTCCACGCTCTTGCCAGGCAACGATCTATTTGTGAATGCCAATTTGCTGATTGCCCATGGACGTCGCTATGGCCTGGTGGGTCCCAACGGTCACGGCAAAACAACGCTGCTCAGGCACATAGCTACACGCGCGTTCGCAATACCGCCCAATATTGATGTGCTGCTGTGCGAACAGGAGGTGGTTGCCACTGACAAGACCGCCATTGAGACAATCCTGGAAGCAGATGTGAAGCGTACCAAGATGTTGAAGAAGAGCGAAGAGCTGGAGAAGCAATTCGCCGATGGCGATATGAGCGTTCAAGAGGAGCTGAACGATACATTTGCCGAGCTAAAAGCCATTGGTGCCTATTCGGCCGAGGCAAGAGCGCGTCGTATTCTGGCCGGTCTGGGCTTCAGCAAGGAGATGCAGGATCGCCCCACAAATAAATTCTCTGGTGGCTGGAGAATGCGTGTCTCACTCGCACGCGCCCTCTATTTGGAGCCAACTTTGTTGATGTTGGACGAACCGACCAATCATTTGGATTTGAATGCGGTCATTTGGCTGGATAACTATTTGCAGGGATGGAAGAAGACATTGTTGATTGTATCCCACGACCAGAGTTTCTTGGATAATGTATGCAACGAGATAATACATCTGGACCAGAAGAAACTGTTCTACTACAAGGGAAACTACTCCATGTTTAAAAAGATGTACGTGCAGAAGCGACGCGAGATGATCAAAGAGTATGAGAAGCAAGAGAAGCGACTGCGCGAGCTGAAGGCCCATGGCCAGTCCAAGAAGGCGGCTGAGAAGAAACAAAAAGAATCGCTAACACGCAAACAGGAAAAGAACAAGACCAAGACTCAGAAACAGGAAGAGGACGATGGTCCTCAGGAGCTATTAGCCCGACCCAAGGAGTATATTGTCAAGTTCCGTTTCCCGGAACCATCGCAGCTCCAGCCGCCCATTCTGGGCGTGCATAATGTGACGTTTGCTTTCCCGGGCCAGAAACCTTTGTTTGTTAAAGCTGATTTTGGCATAGATCTGACCAGTCGCGTTGCTATTGTGGGTCCCAATGGCGTGGGCAAATCCACGTTTCTCAAGCTGCTGCTCGGTGAACTGGAGCCGCAAGAGGGCGAGCAGCGCAAGAATCATCGCCTGCACGTGGGACGCTTCGATCAGCATTCGGGCGAGCATTTGACTGCTGAAGAATCGGCTGCTGAATATCTGCAGCGTCTATTTAATTTACCTCACGAGAAGGCCCGCAAGGCGCTTGGCTCCTTTGGCCTCGTCAGCCATGCGCACACCATCAAAATGAAGGATCTATCTGGCGGTCAGAAGGCGCGCGTTGCTCTAGCCGAACTGTGCCTTAGTGCGCCCGATGTCCTCATTCTCGATGAGCCGACCAATAATCTGGACATTGAATCGATCGATGCCCTGGCCGAGGCCATCAACGAGTATGAGGGCGGCGTCATCATAGTCTCTCACGACGAACGTCTCATACGCGAAACAGGCTGTACACTTTATGTCATCGAGGACCAGACAATTAACGAGATTGATGGCGAGTTTGACGATTATCGCAAGGAGGTGCTCGACTCCCTGGGCGAGGTGGTTAACAATCCCAGCGTGGTAGCCAATGCAGCTGTGCTGCAATAGCCAACGAATGAATTTGTCTCGTTCTCTTTAATTGTTGAAAATCACTTCACTAGATAGCCTTTTTTATATGTGGGCCACAGATCCCAATAAAGCAAGTACATAATGTTGAACTATTTGGAAAATAATTACGTGTTTATTTATAAAAAAAAAAAAAACATGAAAAGAATGGACTTAAACCTAGTTGGAGGCTGAGGGCTTAGGGCATACAGCATGACGGAACTTTTACTTAGCCATGGCGATAGAACTGCTTCACATTGTTCAGCAACTGGGTCATCGCGTTGTAGCTATCCGTGTCAAAGTCAATGTTGTCGCCGCCAAATTCAATAACCTGTGAATCAATTGAGATTATAGCGAGAATTTCATCAGACATCAGATTCACTTGCCTCTTTGGCGCGTATGGCGTCGCCAGCATTTGGAATGCCTATAACCTCCACCCAGGCGCCCTGGGCAGCGCCTAGCTCGCTGGGTAGGCTAATGCGCAGCTTCTGGTTATCCGTGCTGAGGCCCATTAGCGTTGTCCCGGCAACGCTCTCCACGCGCACCATGATGCTGACGGTTTGGCCGGCAAACTGTTTCAGCATGCCGCCATTAACCAGAGTACGGGGCTCAAAGGGAACATTCATGTTTGCAATCACAATATAAGTTTTGATACAAATTCAACGACCAACAAATGCAAATGCGTCGCTCAGCAAGAAAATAGCGCGTAAAAGTCAAGGAAAGGAGCTGGGACAAGGCCAATTTCGATTGTGTTTCGATTACAGTTCGATAGTTTTGGCGCACTATCGAAGTGTGGCATTAAAACCGAAAAAGGTGGCAACAATTTTAAAGTTCTAATTGGTTTTTTTTTCTGTAATAAAATGTTATATTTCTAATTGGCAGCCATTGCAAAATATATTTAAATATATACTATATAAATTAACACTGTATGCTAATCGGACGCTCCACGTCCAAATCTCAACAATGTTTAATAAATTTAAAAATAGCATTTATATATATTTAAAGCAAAATCGATTTACAACACAGTTGACAAAAATAATACTCTTAATAATACTCTTAATTTTTTGTTAAGTAAGGCCCCCATCTGTTGATTAAATCTACAAACGCTTTCGCAGCTTTAGGCTATGGTAGAACGAGCCGACCTCCTTTGGCAGAATGGAGGAGCGTGCTGCGGGCTCAATGGATTTCTCAAATGTATTGTACGTATCATCATGGGCGATCTCAACGACCAAATTCTCATCGTTATCGTCACTGGACGGCGGCTCTACGTAAATATCCGGCGGTGGCAGCTTAGTGCGCTCCCTTTTGGCCGTGTGGCTCATGCTGCGTCTTCCCAAGCCCGAGCTGCGTCGAAGCGTGGTTTCCAGCACACGCACCTTCCTGATATGCGTCTTCAGTGTCTTCTGTGTAACAGCCACTGGACGTGGAACGGACATTCGCAATGCCGGTGATGCTTTCAAGCTGCTCAACGTCTTCATCAGATTCCGCTTGGCGTTTGGTGTCAACACCTTACCGCCATTACCAGAAGGGGGCAACTTTCTCTTGTGCAAGTTGCCGGTGGTTTTCGCCGCCGAGCCTGTCATAGAAGACATCTTTATATTGGACGGAGTCTTGCGCAACGACATCGTTGATGCGGACAATGCTGATGTGTTTCTTAGCGACAAGGGCGTGCGTGGCGCCATCGACCCAGGTGCAGCCGGTGGCAACATCTTCCCTTGGGTTGATGAGGCTGTCCCTCCCTGTTTGCGAGCAGAACTCTGCAGCTCTTTGGCCTGGCGAAGGCGCACCCAATCGTTGGCCATATGCTCCAATATGTTCTCCCCATGGACCAGAAACGGAGATTTATGGCGCATCTCATAGGCTTGCACCAATTCGGTAATTTGCTGCTCTATCTTTGGCAGCTTAGTGCCTATAGCCTTGCGCTCGCGTTCCTCCTTCAGAAGCTGTCCGCCGCGATTGTTGAAGCGATTGGGCTCGTTCGCCTTGGCCTCTAGCGCCTCCATACGTGCCCAGAACTCGGCGCGACTAGCAAACAGCTCAAATATCTCCTTGTTGCTGTTATAAAAACTCTTAAGATCATCCAGTTCCAGCTCATGCAGCTCCAGTAAATCCTCGTTGTACCACTCATTGTAAAAGTTGGAAAAGCGTTTGCGCTCCTGCTGTGATTTCAATGTCAAATCCCACCACTTTTGAATCTCCACTCGCAGCTGCTCGATGAAGGTCTTCAGGTTCTGACGACGCAGCTCCTGACAGCGCTGCAGTTCCTCTTTGAGCACATCATAGGTCGCTTGTGTGTACTCTTCGGCCTCGCGTACTCTGCGCATGGCAAACTCGTCCGATTCCTGCAGACGCTCCCAAAGCACGTGGATCTTCTCGCGCATATCGTCGATCCGTTCGCGCAGTTCTAGCACCTGCGCAGCGAATTCTTTCTGCATGAAACGCAGCTTTTCGAAGATATTCGGAGTCAGGCTCTGGTTCGCCTGGCTGAGCAAATGCTCCTCGGCGGCTGTGTCCGGCCGTATACCGAGCAGCCTCATGTCCTGCTTGATTTGGCTGCGCAGCTGGAACAGTTCTTCCAAGCGGCGCGTGCGCTCTGCTCGCAGATGCTCGAGGTGTTTACAGAAGGATGACATTTCTTCCGGTTTTGGCAGTGGATCGGCCAGCAACGGCAGCGGCAACTCACCCAGTTCTTCGCACAGCTGATCCTGCTGTAGAAGCAGCTCGCATATCTCCGCGCGACGTATGCGCAGCTCCTCCCGCAAATGCTCAATACTCTTGTCCAGCTTTTGCAGCCAGACATCCAGCGGCATATCCTCTGGTTTCTCGCCAATCTCCAGATTCCTGTGCAGCAGGCGCCTTAAATCTGCGGCCTCTGCTTGCAGTCCACTGATTTCATCCTTGATTAGCTGCTCCTTTTCATTTGATTCTGTCAGCAGGTCGCTGTAGAAATTTTTCACGCGGTCTCCCAATTTGCTCTTAAGAATCAGACAATATTCCTCATCAAACATATACGACCACTTGCTGAATAATCGATCGACATGATCGCTGGTAACAGCCAGAATATCCGATTTTTGTGTTTGCTCAGTCATTTTTATAAGTCATCAATTGTTATGAAAATTGCAAATTCAGTCAAAAGGAGACGCCAACATCAATTGAATGTTTCGGTAAATTTAAAACACAAATAAATGTTGCCACCTTTTCAAAATACTATCGGTTAGATGAATTGACGTGGAAAATATCAACAGCGACATCTGGCAACCGCTCACGGCTATAAAATGAACAGGTATTGTACGAGGGCTGACAAGAAACAAACAAATTGCGTAGAGGCTTACTTGTTATATCTGCCAACCTTACATAATGAACAAAATAATATCAATCTGAGCAGTTGGTATTTATAAATGACAATGACAAAAGGAAATTGAGAAAATGATAATGAATTAAAAAATCGTTTTCTAACCATCCAGCGCCATCCGGCGCTGCCAGCTTCTCAAACTTTAGAATGCTGCGCCTGACTTAACATACAGTATTTTTAAAAGGTGGCAACGTTTAGATGTGTTTTAAATTTACCGAAATATTCAATTGATGTTGGCGTCCCTTTTAGGCTGTATTTCGTAATTGTAAAAGAGATTAAATTTTTAAATACGTAAACATGGCCGAACAGCCATCAACAAAAACAACGATCTTGGCTATAACCAGCGATCATGTCGATCGTTTATTTAGCAAGTGGTCGTATATGTTTGATGAGGAATACTGTGTTACCCTTAAGAGCAAACTAAACGACCGCGTGAAAAATTTCTACAGCGACCTGCTGACAGAATCAAATGAAAAGGAGCAGCTTATCAAAGATGACATCAGTGGACTGCAAGCAGAAGCCGCGGATTTAAGGCGCCTGCTGCACAGGAATCTGGAGATTGGCGAGAAACCAGAGGACATGCCGCTGGATGTCTGGCTGCAAAAGCTGGACAAGAGTATTGAGCATTTGCGGGAGGAGCTGCGCATACGTCGCGCGGAGATATGTGAGCTGCTTCTACAGCAGGATCAGCTGTGCGAAGAACTGGGTGAGTTGCCGCTGCCGTTGCTGGCCGATCCACTGCCAAAACCGGAAGAAATGTCATCCTTCTGTAAACACCTCGAGCATCTGCGAGCAGAGCGCACGCGCCGCTTGGAAGAACTGTTCCAGCTGCGCAGCCAAATCAAGCAGGACATGAGGCTGCTCGGTATACGGCCGGACACAGCCGCCGAGGAGCATTTGCTCAGCCAGGCGAACCAGAGCCTGACTCCGAATATCTTCGAAAAGCTGCGTTTCATGCAGAAAGAATTCGCTGCGCAGGTGCTAGAACTGCGCGAACGGATCGACGATATGCGCGAGAAGATCCACGTGCTTTGGGAGCGTCTGCAGGAATCGGACGAGTTTGCCATGCGCAGAGTACGCGAGGCCGAAGAGTACACACAAGCGACCTATGATGTGCTCAAAGAGGAACTGCAGCGCTGTCAGGAGCTGCGTCGTCAGAACCTGAAGACCTTCATCGAGCAGCTGCGAGTGGAGATTCAAAAGTGGTGGGATTTGACATTGAAATCACAGCAGGAGCGCAAACGCTTTTCCAACTTTTACAATGAGTGGTACAACGAGGATTTACTGGAGCTGCATGAGCTGGAACTGGATGATCTTAAGAGTTTTTATAACAGCAACAAGGAGATATTTGAGCTGTTTGCTAGTCGCGCCGAGTTCTGGGCACGTATGGAGGCGCTAGAGGCCAAGGCCAACGAGCCCAATCGCTTCAACAATCGCGGCGGACAGCTTCTGAAGGAGGAACGCGAGCGCAAGGCTATAGGCACTAAGCTGCCAAAGATAGAGCAGCAAATTACCGAATTGGTGCAAGCCTATGAGATGCGCCATAAATCTCCGTTTCTGGTCCATGGGGAGAACATATTGGAGCATATGGCCAACGATTGGGTGCGCCTTCGCCAGGCCAAAGAGCTGCAGAGTTCTGCTCGCAAACAGGGAGGGACAGCCTCATCAACCCAAGGGAAGATGTTGCCACCGGCTGCACCCGGTTCGACGGCTCCACGCACGCCCTTGGCGCTAAGAAACATGTCGGCATTGTCTGCATCAACGATGTCCTTACGCAAGACTCCTTCTAATTTGCAGTTATCTTCCATGACAGGTTCGGCGGCCAAAACCACCGGCAATTTGCACAAGCGAAAGTTACCTAATACCGATAGTAGCGGTAGGGAAGAGACCCCAAATGCAAAGAGGAGCCTAATGAAAACATTGAACTCTTTGAAAGCATCACCGGCGCTGCGAAAGCCGATGCAACGCCTAGCGATTGCCCAACAGAAGTCAATAAAGTCGCCGCTTAAGAAGGTGCGTGTGCTGGAGAATACCTTGCGTCGCAGCTCCGGCTTGGGCCGACGCAGTATTGGTCAGTCCAACAAAAAGCGGCGCAGTAAGATGGCATCGCCAGGAGGAAACATGCAGCCGTCCAGCGATGAGCAGGAGCATGAGGACATCGGCAACTATAATAAGTTTGAGCCACCAGTGCGATCATCCGAGCTGCCGCGCACGTTGGCCTCCTGTCGTCAAATGCCCTTGGCCAGCAATCGACTCCGCAGTAAGGGCCAACAGTATGCGCAGAGGCAGTTGAACGATGACCATATGCATCAGATAGAACTACCCGAGCCACGACGCAGCAGAATGTGGCAACATAAGCTTAAGAAATGAGATTAGCCAACAAATGTACTTATTTTAACTTGAAACTAATTAATATGCTTATTTTTATTTCATGTATTATTGTTTAAAAGTTGCTGTGCTTTGAGATTTATATTAGTTATACATTGTCTGTGTATTCAAACAAACTCCTTGCATGAGGCACACACGTAAATTTTAGATAATTGTGAAATTTGCTTATACCAACGCTGACAGCATTATAATATCGCGATTCATCAATATCTTCAATGATTATAAGATAAAGAAATCAATAATAACTCCAATGCTATATGAGTAAATAATCTAAAAATCTCGTTAAAAATGTAGAGGACAGTGTTAAAATCAAATTCATATACTTTAAAGTGTTTACTATTTTATATAATGAAACAGACTAGATTATATCGACTTGCCTTTCTGATCAAGCATATTAATATAATTAATGTCGAAAGAAAAACAACACAAACTACCCCAAACCTCATTTGCATATCACAGCCCATCCATAGTATACAGTTTGGGGTTAACTGGACAACAGGAAATCGGGTGCCAATCGCGGGCTAGCATATGGATGCTGTGATGTCTAAGCCAGGGCAATATTGCATAGGCCGTTTAAGTTAGTAATAGGAAATTATGCCAGTAAATCGATGTACGCAATTAGTTATAAGAGCTTGTTAAAAATCATATAAATAAAAATATTATTCACGCTGCTCGATTAAAACCACATTATTTTATTCGTCGCTTCATTCGCTTTATGAATATGTTGGAATTTATTTACATGGTAGGTTACATCATAATATGATATAGGTATTCGATATCTAAAGTTATACAAATTTCATTTATAAAACAAAGGGTTTGCAATTTAAGGTTAACAAATCTTTGAACATTTGATATACCTTAACGCATATTTTATATTAGAATTAATAATTTAGTATTGCTGGCTTACAGAACTTTATAACGATCTCACTGGTAGAAAATAGTTTGCTCAATGCTTAGATACACAGTAGAAATCGCTTAGTCTACGTATATTTAACTGTTTTTTTTTTTTTTTGCAATACAATGAAAGTTGCTGTTAAGCGATTTTTACCATATACATACACATTGTTAAGGCGCGATTTAATATTGTACATATATACAAGATCAACTTAAGATTAGTTTGGAATAGCAACTGAATAATCGGCTTGCGAATTTCATAGGGAAACTTCGGTTATTTTCCCGCCTCGCTGCCGCTGGCATTGCTCTGCTGGCTACTTCCCCCATGGTTGTACATGAGATGCGCTGAGAGAACAGGATAGATAGAAAGGGATGGCATTAGTTGGTGCGTTTGCTTGGCGGATGTATTTAATGAAACCTACCCATTACAACGGGCGCTATATTAAATGCACCAAAGGGTGCCGTTGCAGTAGCTGTTGCGTTAGCCGCCGTACCCACAAATCCGGCTGCATCCGGCACTGGAACGGATACCGATACTGGCGACGATGTATTGTAGGCGACCGGCGAATGTAGAATGGGCGTGGCAATTGTCGCAGCCACAGTCGACGGCGGCGGTGGCAATTGCGTGGTCACGGTGGCCATAGCATGCGTATCTGGTGTCGTTGTTTGCTGAAAACGTGCAGGAGGCATTACCACAGTGGTCAGGTGGGAATGATTGGGCTCGTCCAGCAGGCCGGTGCGTTGCAGCCGACCAGTTTTGGTCTCAATATGCTGGTTGTGGGCACTGAGGCAATGGTTGCGCATATGGTATAGCTGCAGGAAGTAAGTATCACAGTGCGGACACTTGTAGCGCTCTCCAGTGTGCCGTCGTATGTGCGCTTTCAAGTCATTGCTCTGGCTGAAACTTTTGTGGCACTGGTCGCACTTGTAGGGACGCTCACCTGTATGGGTGCGCATATGTATGGTGAGATTGTAGGCGCGATGGAAGCTCTTGCCGCACGTGTTGCACAGGTTGGGTTTTGTGCCCGTGTGATAGCTGAAAATATGGCATATAAATTACAATTGAAAAAACAAAATGGGCTGCATTTTGGATCAGGTCACGCAGTTGGGTCACTTACCGTTCATGTACCTTAAGATCTGTAGCGCGTGGAAACGCCTTGACGCAATAACGGCACTTGTATGGCTTCTCGCCATTGTGTCTTCGCATATGGACGCGCAGATAGTCGTTGCGAGCAAAACTGTCGCCGCAAATGCAACAGAGGAAATTACGCTGGCCGGTGTGTGTCTTCTCGTGGCTACGCAACTGTTGGCGCTCCTTGAATGTCTCGTCGCAACTCTTGCATGCATAGAGGAATTCAGTATGGAGCAGTGTGTGCTTGCGCAGATATGTTTTGCTAGAGAATCGCTTGGCACAGTATTCGCACGTATGCTCGTTCATTTGCAGCTTAAGCTCGCTGCTGGCGTCCAGGCCCTCGCCATTGTGTTTGCTCATCTTGTGCCGCTCGAGGGCATCGAGGCGGGCGAACGCCGCATCGCATAGCACGCATTTGTGCTCCTTATTGCCGTGCAGGCTCTGCACGTGCGCCTTTAAATGATCGCTGCGCGCAAATGCTTTGGGGCAATGCGGGCAGCTGTGCGGCTTCTTTTCCAAATGCGACAACTTGTGGCGCAGCAAATGGCAATGACGGGAAAAGGTACGCAGGCAGATATCGCAGCGATTCTCGGGATTCGGTTCCGCTTCAGTTTGTTTTTTGCGTCGACGACGTCGCTGCTTGCCAGTTGCCGGTTTCTGCAGATACTCGCGCACAATTTCCACTTGGGCTACCTGGGCCAGCTTTGATTTGTGCACGGACTGTGTCTCCAGCTCGTCATCCGGTTCGTCTCCATCTTCGTCGTCATCGTCTTCATCAATGTCACTCTCCGCATTTCCGAACTCTTCCCCGTCTTCGTCCTCATCTGCACTGTGCAAAATGTCTGCTGTTGCGGCCTCCATATCGTATTCCTCGTCCTCTTTAATGCTGTCAACGCGTTGGCGCTCTTGCTTAATGGACAACTGCTGCTCACCGCCGGTAACCAATGGCTCCTCTGTATAAGGAAATGAAAAATTAGGGATCTTTATGACCTAACGGTTCGTGAACACTGACTTACCTTTTACCTCAGCCACTAATGCACTAGCCGCAGTTTTCTGTTTGTCTACGCACTCATTCTCATCCTCCGTGTCCGTGTGAGCTGCAACCTTTAGAATTGCTCTTTTTCTGCGCTTGTCGCGATTTACTTGCGACCCTATTGTCTCCGGGCAGTGTTCAAGTTCCGGCTCCGGCTCTGGTTTAATGTGCAGCCAGAGCGACTGTTTAGCCTCGGCATGTACATCTTCGTCTTCAGCTTCCTCGTTGCTTGATATGGGATTAGTGTGGCATTGATAGCCACTCCCGTTGTTGTCGTTCTCATTATCATCAGGATCATTAAATAAAACGGCAGCCGACTCCAGTTCATCACCGCTATGCATGGTCGCCTCATCGATGGGCCGCCAGGCCACCTTAGATTGCACTTCCTGCTTCTCGGCCAGCGTCCGGTCCAGCCGACCCCGGCCATCCGCATCGTGCACAGAGCGCATATGGCGAAGCATATGATCACGTCGCGAGAAGGCGCGTTGACAGACTCGACATTCCAGACGCCGACGCAGCAACGGTGAAGTCGAGTGCTGATCATGCTGCATGACGAGATGGTTCCGTAGCTGGCGCAGCTGCTGGAATTGTTCGTCGCACAGCTTGCACTTAAGTTCCTCCATATGCATGTGCTGCCGTTTGCGATGCACGCGTAGTTCAAGAATGTTCAGAAATTTATCGTTGCAGATGCCGCACGGCAACATCGGCACCTGCTCCGTCTGTGTGCAAACATCACTGCTGTTTGGCTTGGTAATGGGTGTGCGCCCCAGTATGGCCACAAGCGAGCGATAGGCCTTCTCTGCGTCCTGCTTGAAACGATATGCCTGACAGGCGGCTTTAATGCAGGTGTCGCACATATGATGCGGCATCTTGTCGTAACGCTCACAGGTGTAGCGCGTGCACTCGTTAAGTATCTGAGCGATGTTCGCGCCCTGCTCCACAGGCGCCTCATCGTAGATGAAGTAAAATTCGCCCACCTCTCGCAGGCACACGCGACAGACGCGTTCCGCATCGAATTGGCCGTAGGTGTCAGGCATTGCAGCAGCGTTGGTGTTCGTTAATATGTCTGTTACAATTATATTTTTGATATTATTGTCGCGGCATTGCGTTTTGTGGGTAGTTTGTAAATGTTTGTGTTCTTTTTTTTTACATTTTCACTTGAATGGGAATTTTGCACTGGTCTGGCAGCACCCTCAACGCAATCCAGTGGCAACATCATACGCATTGTTAGTGCTGCATAAAATCATCATGGCGCGCGCATTTAAAAGCAAGTTTGCTAAAGTTAGTGCAAAGAAAATCAGCATTTTTTATTATATACAAATTTACATAGTTAATTAGCATTATTGATAGGCTGAATTTAGAAATGTTTCTCCTGCGTCTTTGTCTGCAATCAGTGTTAAGTCCCCATGTGTGGGCTCTACCCAAGCAGAGGGAAAGTTTTTGTCCTTGTCTGCAAAAACACGCTGTAATAGAATAAATAGTAAATATAACTGCTAATTACTTTATTACCAATCGATTGCTGTTCATACCTTAACAACATCAGATTTACTGGCACCTGTTACAACAAAGACTACATCTTTGGCATTATTTATCAGCGGCAGTGTAAATGTGATACGTTCTGGCGGTGGCTTCGGTGAATTACGTATCGGAATGACAATACGTCTGCTTTCCGACAGGGCAATCGGTTGCTCTGGAAACAAGGAGCACGTGTGTCCATCTGGTCCCATGCCCAAAAGCAACAAATCAAACTCCGGACAACTTGTACCAAATTCGTCTCTTATGCATGCCGCATATTCGCTGGCGCAGCTATCCAATGATATTGTCGTATTAGGCTTAATTAGTTGACTATCCGAAATATTGGGTAGTTGAGTTAGCATTTGTGTTTTGTACGCCCAGAAGGTGGATTCGTTGTGATCGTCTGGTACATAGCGTTCGTCGCAGAAAAAGAATTTCCAACATTTTGTGTTCAGATTACTGGATACTAGGGCACGGGTCAAGAGCTGCACAAGCGAGCCACCTGTTGATCGTATACATGAATGACCTTTAATGACTGACTTTGTGAATGAAAGTGTGCGGCGCAAGGTCACCTCAAGTTGAGCTTCTCACACATACATGCACACACCATATATCATGTGTTTATGTGCATATAAAAACACGCACCTGAGAGCCCGACCCGGAAGGTGCCATTACTTTCGAGAGCCCGATTCGCGCAACGTTG